TTCTTTAGATACCAACACCACACGGGTCAGGAATATGATCTGTTGTCTGTCTGTTTTGTTCACTGCTCTACCCCAATGGCTATACCATTGCTAGGCACAGAATAGGCGCTCAGTACGTATTTGTTGAAAGAAGTAATTAACCAATTAGTTAATCAGGTACACGGAAAGTAGGAAGGAGTTACAGGGAGGCTGAATTCATCTCAGGATGAAGAACATTCTAATATGTTGTTCAAGGCATCTTGGTATAATAGAAACACGTCTGGACTTGGAGCAAAATAAATAAGCCATTTGCTAAATTTGACTGTGGGCAAGTCACTTAACTCTCTAGCCCAAGCCTTCTTATCTATTAAATAAAGATCATCTTTGTCCTGCCTGATTCACAAGGATGTTGAGAGGGTGTGATAAAATAATGTAAGTAAAAGAGTATAATATAAAGTGCTACTAAGTATATTGTTATTATCTAGCTGGTGCCGGGCACTGTCTTTGTGACATCTCGGTAGGGAGTTTTGTCTTGGGTGGGAATGTGAACTAAATCACTCAGATCCGTTCCAACTCGTACGTATTACGATCATGACACATAAATGCGTTACTTAACCGTTTCTAGAACATGCGTCTTAAAGTTTTGGATGCAGAAAGCTGAGCTCAGAATCGGAAGTATTGGATAAAAATGATGTAGATCAAAGAGCAAGAAATGCCGGAAGAGCTTGTTTTGTTTGATGGTGGACAAAGATCTTACACGAAAATCTGTGTGTGATTCTCTAGGAAGGGGGAAATCCAAATGTCCGATTTCCCCCAGATTTGATGAAGTCTCTGTCTGTCAGCACTGCAGCCATGTTTACCAGGCACCAAAAAGAAAGGAGGTCCCTTAAACTAAAACGTCAATGATTGGGGTTTTAAGGAATTTCAGATTACTGGGAAGGTCCCCCGCCACTTAGTGACTCCCCGGTGATTTGGAAATCTCGATGACTGCTGGCAGAAATTTGCATGGAGACTGAATTTTACCTCAGCCCTTTTGAAAAAGTAAAGAAACCACAAATCCAGTAGCTGTTCGAAACAACAAAGAAGGTGCCTTTGGCTTCTAACAGGAGTGTCTCTGAATTCCTCAAGGAATTCCAGGCCTAGGGTTGATCCAGCTGGCAGGGAGGGATCGATCTCCACTTGAATTCACTGAATAAATAATGGTTGCCATAGTTATTGAGCAGTCACAACTGGTTGGAGAGCAGGGAAAACTCTGAGGCACCTTCTGTGAGTTTGGCCATGAGAAAGTCTAGTTATAAGGTTCTATAATCAAGCCTCTCCCCAAACCCAGCCAACCCCTTGCTCCATTTCTTTATCCTGAAGACGAATATGGGATCTTGAATATAATGCAAGACATGGGGCACTGAAAGGAAGGCAAAGTTTAAATCAATGGATTGGTATTTTATTTCAGGAAAAGCATCTCTCCCCAGGTTGTGAACCTAATTTGATACAGCTCGGTATTAATAGAATTTACTATCAGACAAGATGACTATTTGATCATGTTACAGCTGCTAGAGAGACCAAATCCCAGATTGTGCTATGTTAACAGGTTAATATACAAATACTGCTAACTTGGAAATTTTAAAAGAAAGGAAAAGAGTTAGCTGACAATCTCATAAATAGTCTCACTTTTCTGTTTCCTTTGACCCTTCTCTATAAGCAGAAATAAATTTTGCATGGCTGTCATCACAGCTTAGATACTATTTTATATTCTGTTCTTTCTTTAATGTGATATTATATATTTTTTTCCATGTTGCTTCATAGCCTTCCTATTTGTCCTTTCTGATGTCTGCAGAATCTTCCATTATGTGCATATACCATTTAGCAGTTTCCCTATTCTTCCACCCGTTATCTTTTTCCCATTTTTTAAATAGATACTGCTACCCCAAATGTCTTCATGCATACAGTTTTAGTCTTCTGCTGAATTTTGCCTTCAGATAAATTCCCAAGAGTTGGATTACTTGGTCAGAGCCTATGAACATTTTACAGCTCTTGAAGTTCACTGCCAAACTTGCAGTCTGCTTTTTTGTGTTTTTTTTGGGGGGGGGTGGGTAAAACTTTAGGAAGAACACTGTTGCAGGCAGAATTTCTCTTGAAGTTCACTCCTGGGTACGTCTTTTGAGACTAAACAAAGGGACTATGTATGCAGTAGAGATAAACATAGAGGACAGGTTTGCACCTGGGCTGATTAGCTAATAGTTTCCTGGGAAAAGCAAAATCATGCACTGCAAAGCTTGAGAAGTGGGGCACTTTGCTGCCTTTTGTTTGACCCTGCAGTTGCCAACCATTTGCCATGCGGCAAGCACTGTTGTGGGTACTGTACCATGGGTGTAGCACACTGCAGTTGGCAGAAGGCCTTCATGTAGCATCATCTTAGTTGAGCCTGACAATAACCCGTGGAAGTAGGTTTTATTGTAATTGTGCTTTTTCTTTCAATTTATTGTGTAATATTTAGGATACACAGAAAACGGGGTACCTGACTGGCTCAGTCTGTGGAGTATGCAACTCTTGATCTCAGGGTTGTGAGCTTGAGCCCTACATTGAGTATACAGATTACTTAAAAAATAAAATCTTGGGGGTCCTGAGTGGCTTAGTTGGTTAAGTGTCTGATTCTTGATTTCAGCTTGGGTTATGATCTCAGGGTTGTGAGATCGAGCCCCCAGGTCAGACTCTGCGCTGGGCATGGAGCCTGCTTAAGATTCTCTCTCCCCGTCTCCCCCTCCCCTGCCAACCTCCCCCCGAACCCCACTCTCACGTGCCTACGTGCATATGCACATGCACACTCTTTTAAATAAAATAAAATAAAGTCTTTAAAAAAGAGACACACAGAAAGGAACGAAGAAGAATACAATAAAGACTTGTATATCTACCACCCTGTAATCCCCATTTTCCTAGAAGGACACGGAACCTCAAAGAGATGAGGTCACATGGCCAGTAAGTAACCAGAACAGGAACCCAGCTCAGCTCTGTCTGGCTGCACAACCAGTGCCCTCTGCTCTATATGATGGTGCACCGAGATGAGACGCCCGCAAGGTACAATCCAACCTCGGAGATGCTGCTGGCAATTTTCATGGTTGTAGTTTAATGTGATTATAACACATCAGAGCTGGAAGGGACCTGAGAGGTCATTAAGTCCAGCCTCCTCCTTTCAAGATAAGCCTTAAAGAGGGAGGAACTCATCCAAGTCATACACAACTAGCCAACCTAGGGAAGAGTGCAGAGCTCCTGGTCCTTGGGCCTCCTTTGATTTAGGTCAAGAGAAGAAAGAAATGTCTGGGTCTTGCTTCATTTTGCTAACTGATTTTTTTGTTTGTTTGTTTTTGTCTTAAGGAAATAACTTGCCTAACAAAAATATCCCCAACTGAGGATTAGGAGTATACTTATCTTGATGAGCACTGAGTAATGTCTAGGATTGTTGAATCACTGAACACTTTTGTACACCTGAAACGAATATAATGCTATACGTTAATTATACCAGAATTTAAAAAAATAAAAAAAATACATACCTCCAACTGAAAAAATAAACGCTGGAAAAATTAGACGCTGTCGCTTGATTTCCCTTTGGAAGGATGTCTTCCATCCCACAAGAATTATTGTTTTATATGTAGATATACTTAGAGATAAAAAACCCTGACTGAGATAAGTAGGGCCAAGCCCTCTCTCAGGAAAGAGGCTTTGGTATCTAAATGCTGAGGGAGAGCAAAGTGATTTGTGCTGGACGTGAGGCTCCTTTCTGAATAGAGAAGCAACATTGCTCTGGGGCAGGAGGACACGGTCTTTGGGACTTTGGGAAAACCACTTAACCTTAAAATAAAATAGGAGATCATAATATTTAACATGGGGATCCCTTTATATATTGTTTTATAAAATACGAGATACAGGTGTTCATGTCTGGCTACACTGGGCCTCTTCCTTTCTCTTTGACTTTTCCATCTCCACCGTAGGAAGACGTGTGTATTTTGTACAGAGCACCAGGTGTAGGTCAATAGGTGTTTCAAGGGAGGCCAAAAACAAGGAAAAGAAAAGCTGGATTCTTCTCAGTGCTGGTTAGCATGAAAACACAAGAAATATGCTTTATGCTGGGTCTCGTGGGGCAGCCCTTGCATTAGCAAATGGAACTTACAGGCCACCCCTCTTCCCCACCTGTTAAGATGGGAACACTCATTCCTTTGCCTGGATGTGTTTCTTTGTCACTCTGAAGAAGAGTTGCTTCCTGACAGGGCTTTTGTAGGATGATGTCTGCAAAATAGTTACCACTCTGTCATTCATTCAGTGTGACTGTGGGCCAGGAACGGTGTGCTTCACCTAAGTTGGTCCTTCTAGAAACCCTAAATTAGGGATGATCATTACCTTCATCTTATAAGGAAACTGGGGCCCAGACATTAAGAGGCTAACTCAGGGGCACACAGCGAGGAAATGGCAGGACTGGGATTCAAACTCTGGTGCTGTTTGATACCAAAGGCCATGAGTTACCTCTAAGAGGGAGGCGCTTGGATTGTAAAATGCTATCCCAACTGGTGGAAGAAGACACAGGCCTCAATTCAGGATGCAAAGTCTCTTAAGATGGGGGTGTCCAGGGGCACCTGGCTGGCTCGGTCCGCTGAGTATCTGCCTTCGGCTCAGGTCGTGATTTCAGGGTCCTGGGATCGAGGCCCACATACAGCTCCCTGCTCAGCGGGGAGTCTGCTTCTGTCTTTCTCTCTCTCTCTCTCTCTGCCCCTCCCCACCCCCACTCATTCTCCCTCCCTCCCTCTCTCTCTCAAATAAATAAAATCTAAAAAAAAAAAAAAATGATGGGGGCGCCTGGTTGGCTCAGTCGGTAGAGCATCCAACTCTTGATCTCAGGGTCATGAGTTCAAGCCCCATGTTAGGCATGGAGCCTACTTTAAAAAAAAGAGAGAGACAAAAGCAAGAACAGAAAAAAACAAAGTCTCTTAAGATGTAACCACTTCCTGAACTTGCCCTTTTCTATCCCTCTGCAGAACGACATGGGTTAAAAGAACCAAAGAGAGTGGAGGAGCTATGCAACAAGATCACAAGCAGCTTGAAAGACCACCAGAGTAAGGGACAGGCTTTGGAGCCCAGTGAGCCCAAAGTCCTGGGTGCGCTGGTAGAACTGCGCAAGATCTGCACCCTGGGCCTCCAGCGCATCTTCTACCTGAAGCTGGAAGACTTGGTGTCTCCACCTTCCATCATCGACAAGCTCTTCCTGGACACCCTGCCTTTCTGAACGGGAGCAGCCGGAGCAGGGAGCCACCTCAGTGGCCAGCACCTACTTGCTAAGCAGCAGAGGAATGGGTCTGGACACCTACCATTTTCTGTCCTTCCTTAAGAGAAAAAGCAGCTCCTGTAGAAAAGACTTTTTTTTTTTTTTCTTTCTGGCACTTTTCCTTACAACCTAAAGCCAGAAAACTTGCAGAGTATTGTGTTGGGGTTGTGTTTTATATTTAGGCTTTGGGGTTGGTGTGGGAGGGGAGGGTATAGTTCATGAGGGTTTTCTAAGAAATTGCTAACAAAGCACTTTTGGACGATGCTATCCCAGCAGGAAAAAAAAAAAAAGGATAATATAACTGTTTTAAAACTCTTTCTGGGGAATACAATTATAGTGTCTTTGTATTTAAAAACAAGAACAGCCAAGGGTTGTTTGCCAGGGTAGGATGTGTCTTAAGGTTGATCTTTAGAATACACTTCCTGTATCGAGGGTATGTATGTGGTGCAAACAAGGCAGAAATTCTCTCTTCTTAATTTCTCTCTTCCTTTATTTTATTTTAACAAATGGTGAAAGATGGGGATTACCTATAAATCAGACATAGCAAAATGATAATGGTTGTTCGCTTCCATATACAAGTGCAATTTTTAAAGTGCTGTCTTACTAAGTCTTGTTTATTAACTCTCCTTTATTTTATATGGAAATAAAAGAGAGGCAGTCATTTTGGCAAATGACACATGTTAATTTTCCTAGCAGAGGCTTTGTCCACCTGCCCTGTAGAACCCCTCTGAGGTATGGTCCATCTAAGATTTTAGGTCATTCTTAATGGATCCAGATCTCTGCCCTGACTTTCCAGCTGTCCCGAAGGGGGCTCAGATCATAAAATGGATTGCATACAGCTGTTTCGGTTGTGTTCTATCAACCCAGACCGAGTTCCCTAAACTTGCTTCAGTTAATAGCAACTGACTGGCACATTCATTCGGAAGCCCCGGGAGCATTCAGTGAGTCTCACGTGTTTGATCCCTAAATAAGAACATACAAATAAATAGGAACTGATCATACAGGGTAAACACCAGAGGTAATACGATTTTTAAAATATATATAATTTAATTTTTGTTACTGGTTACAAAGACAATTTTGGAGAGCAAGCGAGTCTTATTTAAAAAATAATAGTATGAATGTGACTACTAGACCGGATTAGTGGGTTGCGTTTCAACATTCCGTGTTCGTACTCCCTTTTGTATGTTTATACTGTCGATGCCATATTACTATGAGATAATTTGTTGCATAGTGTCCTTATTTGTATAAACATTTGTATGCACGTTATATTGTAACAGCTTTGCCTGTATTTATTGCAAGACCACCAGCTCCTGGAAGCTGAGTTACAGAGTACTTAAATGGGGTGTTCACAGTGACTTGGATACACCAATTAGAAATTAAATAAACAAATATATATATAAATATAGCAGGTTACATATATATATTTATAATGTGTCTTTTTATTAACCATTTGTACAATAAATGTTACTTCCCATGCAGTTATTTTATGATTCATTTGCAGTGACTTTTAAGGCAGTACTGTTTAGCACTTTGATATTAAAATTTTGCTTATGTTTTGCTAAATTCGAATAATGTTTGAAGATTTTTAGGTCTAAAAGTCTTTATATTATATACTCTGTATCAAGTCAAAATATCTTTGGCCATTTTGCTAAGAAACAAACTTTGAATGTCAAACTGATGTCACAGTAGTTTTTGTTAGCTTTAAATCATTTTTGCTTTAGTCTTTTTAAAGAAAAAATAACAAAACTATACTGTTTATATTGTCATTAAATTATACAATCAAACAAATGCCAAATGAATTGCCTAATTGCTGCAAAGGATAACCCAGTAGCAAAGCATATACATTTTTCCCCCAAGATTCATTCTGATATTTGATCATGTATTATGTTTGTATGAGCTTTTATGAAATATTATTTTTATATCCAGGTGATAGGGTCTGCAGCGTTAGGCTCTTGGAACATTATACTTGTCAACTGGTGCCCCACCCCTTCGAAACTCATAGAGCAGAAAACTGGGGCCCAGCGAAAGTAAAAATTGCCCAAGGTCCAACAGGCTAGTACCAGAATCAAGACTAGGACCTAATTCTCCTTTCCATACTGTTTTTACTCAACTTATTGCATCTATAGGAAAACAGGCTTTTAAAAATAACCACTAATATTTACATTTTACCTGATAACCATGAGTAAAGTAGTACTTTTGCATTAATTTTTTGAGCATATATGCAAACATAATAAACATTATTAAATATCAGGAAAGCTAACATTTCATACATGGTAGCTTCAGACCAAATTCAAATTGAATTTGAATAAATTAGAAATACTGTGCATACATAACCCTTTTGGGCACCGTTAGTATTGGAAAGTTAATCCTTATTTTCTGTCATGTCCGTAAAAGAAAAACAAAACAAACAGAAAAACCAGAGGCCTGGAGAAATGCTGTTACTTTTTATTTTTACACCCATCAGATTTAAGGAAAAGACTTTTTAGCCGTGATTCGTCGGAAGGAATGAAGGTTTTTAGTTATAGGTCCAAACACTAGTGTTGAAAATAAAGGTTATAGCCAGTGTTCTTCTGTCTTCCATAGTTGTAAGAACTATGAGAGCCTCCCACGTAATCCATCAATTCAACTCTCTTCTTTTGTCTTAATGTTGACACACAAGTTTATACAGAGTGGATGACCAAACTAGCTCAGAAGAGGACAGCAAGAATTAAAGCAGGTGATTCTTCCCCTGTGGGAGAGCTCTCTCAGTGTGAACATGCCTTCTGTGGGCAGAAATCAGGAATCCACCAGCTGTTAATGGAGAGTGCCTTGCTTTCATTTCAGACAGCAGAGTTTTCCAAAGTTTCTCTGCTCTTCTAACAGCATTGCTCTTTAGTGTGTGTTAACCTGTGGTTTGAAAGAAATGCTCTTGTACATTAACAATGTAAATTTAAATGATTAAATTAAATTACATTTTATCAATGGCTACTGGTGTGTTGAATAAGCATGCTTCATTTAACAGTATTCTTTTCATCATGTAGTATTTGCTGTGAACTCTTAAACACATCCCCAAATGGATTTTTTAAAGGCTTACTAATACTGAAAAATTAATAGGCATTCTGAATTGGAAATATATTAAACCTTACTGATTGGGAAGAAGGACATTCTAAATTCAATAACCATGTATTGACTACTTCCTGTGGACAAAGCACTGCCGTATGCTTTGAGGAGATACAAACATGTACAGTGTTTGAAGCTACTTTCTTTCAAATATATATATAATATTTAATAGAGCTAATAATTTCTTGCCTAAAAATATTCTTTAAGGGTATAAAGGATTTTTTCTATATCAAGATGATGGGATATCAATTGTTTATGAACCAGAATTTACAAGAATCAAGATTAGAATTCTCCAAGATTGATCAGTACTCTCCGCCTTTTTGCTGACACCACTACTCTATATTGCCTAGAAACCCCTCTCTGTGGGCAATGCAAATGCAACTTTCATTCAACTCTACCCCAAACATCATATATTCTAGATTAGGGCAAATGTTTTTTGTGTGTGCATTGACGGCTCAAAAAAATAAATGTGGAGCTCTATAGTTCATCAGTTCATACACAAAGAATTTTCTGTGACATCTAAGTGCTGTATTCAGTCTAGGGGCCAAACACTTCTTGCTTCTCAGCAGTGCCTTCATCTCCTCAACTATACAGTGTGATTAGTAAGAAAAGAACGAGAGACATGGTGGAACTCCATCTTGCATATGGATTTAAATATAGGTGCTTAGCCAAAGGGGACTCCAAAGGCAAAAGTCTGGTTTGAACGAGGAGGGAGGTGGGAAGTTCAGGACTAAATACGGGGCAGATGCCTGTAGTTGAAATTTAAGACTACAAAGGAAGCTAATTGTTGACTTTTTTTTAAATTTAATGCACAAATTGAGTGTTGTTAAGTACATCCCCACTGTTGTTTAACCAATGGCCAGAGCTCTTTTCATCCTACACAACTGAAACTCTGTAGCCATTAAAAAATAACTCCCCATCCACTCCTCCTGCAGCTCTGGTAACCACCATTCTCTGTCTTTATGAATTTGACTACTATAGGAACCTCATATAAGTGAAATCTTACAGTATTTGTCCATTTGTGTCTGGCTTATTTCATTTAGCCTAATGGCCTCAATATTCATATTGTAGTATGTGTCCTTTCTAAGGCTAAATAATATACCATTGTACGTCTATACTACACTTTGCTCAGTGGACACCAGTTGCTTCCACCTTTTGGCAATTGTGAGTAATGCTGCTATAAACCTGGGTGTACAAATATCTCTGCAGGACCCTGCTTTCAATTCTCTTGGCTAACTGTTGATGTTTGAGCTTAAGGATGATATCAGTGCTTTTCAAGGATAATCTTGATTATAAGTGATTTTTTGCCTCAAGCACTGATATCAGGCCTTCCCCATTTCTCTCTCAGAAGGAACCTGAGGTTATTCCATGAGCAAGCTGTTTGTAAACCTTTGTTCTAAGACAAGGCTAAAAATGGAAAGAACTAAAATCTAAGAGCATTAAATGGTCCATCATCTTGTCCAAATACTTTTTGAAAAATTCCATACTTTGCCCAAGGAGTTGAAGATCCCATCAAATTTCAAAGAGGGTTTTTGCACCTTCTGTTATCTGACACCCTTCACCATGAACAAAATTCTTCAATACTTCAGAAAATTCTTCCTCAGGGCTATCTCTGAATGACACTGTGACACTAACAGACAATATTTTTTGTTTGTGTGTTCTGTTTTGCTAGCATTGCAAGGAGAGTGTCATTCCTCTTTTATTTTTTTTTTGTCTCTGCCCATCTCATGGTTCCATCAATGAGCCCAAGGGTCACTGGCCCCTTCTCCGATCATCTGCTGTGATGCTGGCCATCCCTCATGCTGGGCTTCTAAAGGGCATTTGATTTGATGGGAAGAGAAGAAATACCTAATATTTATTAGGCATCTATTGTGTGTGTCAGACACTCTGGTAAATACTTTCATACATGATCTCATTTAATACTTAATACTTCTGAGATGGTGTCGTCATCCACGTCTGAAAATGGGGAAAGACGCTGGGAAGGGTTAAGTACCAAGTTCCTATTAGATTTGAACACACGTCAGTATGTCTCTTCGGCTCCTGGCTGCCTTCCAGAGGCTTAGTCTTTAGACACCTGCTCCTCTCTGGAGCACAGAGATCATTTACCCTCAGTTACCTGCTTATCAGCAAGTGCTGAGGAATTCTGCACAGGCACCAGAATAACAATCCTATACACAACTCAACCTCATTTCCCTTCCTGTCAGACTTATCCCCTGTCCTCCTCATCCCTCAGACTCTTTGACTCAAGGCCCCCACCATTTTGTCTCTAGGTCTCTAACTTTGTCCCTCAACTGCCTTATACCCAAAGAGTCTTAGAATAATGAAAACCTGCTCCACTTCTGAGATCATTTCTGATGATTTCCCCCTCTCAACACAAATGCTCTTTACCCTCAGAGCAGACTTCAATCGTTTGAACCCTCCCAACTCTTTCCTGCTTCCAGCCAACCTCCCAATTTCCAGGTGATTTAAAACTTCCACTCAGGCTCTATAGTCAATAGCCATCTTCCTCTGGACTCTACAACCACCTCTCTGTCCCTTTCCAGCCACATTCACTAACCCCTTACCACACCCAAAGACCAGCCTCATCACACCCAGAATCTATTTTTGTTGTCCCTGCGGAGAGATGCTAGAGCATTGCAGAGAACCAGGCTGTCCTTAAGCATCTCAGGCTTGTTCTCTTCCTAGCAGCCTGGCCTGCATTTGCCCATTGAATCTATGTGTCTCCTAACACACTTTCCACCTCTGATTCCTAAAATCCTCATTTCTCCTCCCTCAGCATCTCACCCTTGCTCATTTTTTCCCGCCAGTTTCTAATAAATTGTTCAGAATCACACAAAGATGTTTTTCAATATATAGCAAAACACACATGTAAGTATACTACCTAACAAAGCTGCTTGCATGTGTTTCGTTGTCCATTTATACATACTTAGGGGTTTTTTTATTTTAAAAAATAAAGGGTCCTGGCGCCCGGGTGGCTCAGTTGGTTAAGTGACTGCCTTCGGCTCAGGTCATGATCCTGGAGTCCCGGGATCGAGTCCCAGCAGGGAGTCTGCTTCTCCCTCTGACCCTCTTCCCTCTCGTGCTCTCTGTCTCTCATTCTCTCTCTCTCAAATAAATAAATTCTTTTAAAAAAATAAAAAATAAAAAAATAAAGGGTCCATCCTTTACATTTGTACTTTTGCTTTTTACATTGCCAAGATTCCATGGGAAATTAAAATAATATAAAATTGGAAAATAAACTGATTAAAAAGAACAAAGTAAAACATATACACAAATATGGAAGTGATTTAAAACAAAAAAATAATGAGAAAAATGATTTTTTAAGGTCACTGTTTTTATTTTATTCTATTGCCTCTTTGTTTTATCATTTTGTTGTTTTTGTTTTCGTTTTTCAACATGGTAAGTGGCATTTCTAACAAGTTCCCAGGTGATGCTGATGCTATGGTTCCAGGTCCCATCACCTGAGAACTTGCTAGAAATGCAAATTTTCAGGGGCACCTGTGTGGCTCAGTCGGGTAAGCATCTGCCTTTAGCTCAGGTCATGATCCCAGGATCCTGGTATGGAGCCCCGAGTCAGGCTCCCTGCTCGGTGGGGAGTCTGCTTCTTCCTCTCCCTCTGTGATCTCTTTCGCTCTTGCTCTCTCTCAAATAAATAAATGAAATCTTTTTAAAAAATGAAATGCAAATGTTCAGGCCCCACCCCAAATGTACTGAATCAGAAATTCTAGGTGTGGGGCCCAACACTCTGTGTTCTAACAAGCCCTCCACATGATCGTGATGTATATGAGAGTTTGAATCACTGCCTTGAGCTTACCAAGAAGTAGAGCTGCAAGGCTATGGGGTATACAAATCTTCTGCTTTACTAGATACACCAGTTGGCTTCAAAAGGATTTGTACCAGTTTACACTCTCAACAACAATGTATGAAAACTCCTACTGTTCTAGATCTTCCCCCACACTTGGATTTCATCAGAATTTTTTGTTTTAGCTAATCCAGTGGTTACAAAATGGCATCTTGTTGTGCTTTGTACAATTATGAATAGAATTGCCATCAGCATTTATCGACAGGTCTGTGTGTCAACATGTTTTATTTCTCTAGAGTAAAAACCTCGGAGTGGAATTACCGGGTAGGTTTAAGCTTGTAAGAAGCTGCCAAACCTTTCTACAGAGAAATAGAATATCTGACCGGGCACATGGTTGCTCAGGATAAATGCATTTCTCAGACTTCCTTGCACCAAGGCATGGGCTTGGCCCATGTAAGTGGATGTAAGTCAATGCATGTAAGTCAAAGTGTCATCTGGTTACTATCTCCTATGTGTCACTCTCTCCTTCCAGATGGTATTTGACAGTAGCCTTCTAGAGACAACATTATTATTGTCTGGCCCCAGAAAGTGGCTCTATGGGTGGACATTTCAAGTTGGAGAAGAATCAAGAGTAGTATCATGATAGGTGATATTTTAGGATGGCTTATACATACTGCTGGTCTTGGAATAGAACTGATATGCATTGTAACCCACATGCTAGTTGGGGCCTCTTCTACTTAGGATCTAGAAGAGATTGTTTCAAACTCGATAATCCACAAAGAGAAAAATCCAAAGACTTCCTCCAGATACCTGCAAATTCTGCCAATTTTACACTAGATCTAGCTTTGGGGTCTCACGTCTGTTCGTTTAGCTCTGCTAATGGACTGTCTTGCTGTACTTCTGGTGTCATCCCTATTTCCGGTGTTTTCCTTACTTTCCACCCCAAAATCACATACTGAACTTTCCCAGGTTCTAGAAACCTATC